CTACAGTTCTCTGTAATAGGTACCATAAATAAAACTACGAAAGAAGGCCAGAATTTTAAGCAGTCTTCATTCATCCTTTTGTCATAAAATCTTTAAAGTTAGATAGGAATCTTAATTATTAAAGGATTAAACAAACAGAAAAGGAAACTGTCATGGAACAATTAGAAAGAAGCTTCTGAAAAGGAAAAAAGGCAAAAAAAATCTTTCTTCTGTAGTCACAATTACAGTCATGACAATTGTTCAGTCAAGAGCTGTTGTTGTATGCCATGGGAATACAGGCCAAGGTGAAGGCTGCCTTTATTTAAAATGGTGATTCTTTTAGAAAAGTCTCTGTGTACTGTTCCCAACTAGTGTTTTGCTGAGTTTGTCCTCAAGTTTTTTCAAAGAGTAGTAAGACTATCACACTCAATTTTGCTAGAATACACTTGTCCCTGATTATCTGAGATGCTATGCAGTGATAAAGCAGTAGCCTGCTGTGTGCCTGAAGCATATACAGTTCACCTGCCTGGCCAACTTACATCTCCTTGTCTTCAGAGGATGTGTAAGACCCTGTGTTTAGCAAATATTTTGTCACTATGTATTTTACTTTATTTGATTTCATTTGCATTTACATTCACTCATTTAATATATACTGACACACCATTCCAGGTCTCTGTTGTTTCTAGTTTCCAATTTATTTTTTTCTTGTTCATTTTCTTTCACTAAGTGGGACAGCCATTCCTTATAAGGAACGTTCCTTAAAATCAGTACTGCCTTGCAAGTGTCTTTGCTGTTAAAAAAATAAAAAAATAAAAAAAAAGAAAGAGGGAGAAACAGGTACAGGTACATAAGTACACGAGAAGGCATAAGTAATCTTCCCTGTGCCACTGGCCAACTCAGCTGGTCTGATGAAACGACCGTACATGGAGAAGACTCCTTCCACAAGGCTTCTTCCACAGGTCTTGTTCTGATATTCTGTGGTGGCCTCTCTTCCATCTACATCTCATCAGGCCAGACCAAAGGCTGTTATTCTATCAGTGAATATAACATTTGACACATAGATGTTACAGGGCATAACCAGATTTACATTTAAATGTACCCATGTAATGTTGCCATGGAAATATGACACTATGATGTAAAAATAAATTTTCTGTATCCACCTTATTTCACTAACACAAATAAGCAAAGCTGCAATCAGACAACTGCTATGCCCATATTTTCTTCTAGTGTATTACCTACTGAAAATCAGAAGAAAGTGAATACAGGACTTTTTTAGCTACTGAAGGAATCTCTCTTCATGTTATAATCACATTTTACATGCATGCTAAGCTAAATTGTTGTACAGCGCTCTGCAGCTAAAAACTCTTCATCTATCCATAGAATGCAAATGTTTTTCACGTTTCATCTGCATTTTACAGGTGGGGAAAATTATGTAACTCAGCAAAGCTTAGATCATAAAGAGAGTCAGTATCACCTCTTCTGACTAGATACTTAGGCCATGGTCTTCACTTTTAATCAAGTTATTTAGCCATTGAGAGGCATAACATTTAAGCAGTAGAGCACGGGTTAACTATTCTTCTAGTATGAGAGTATGTCATGCCCAAAGCTGTACTCTGAAGTGGGAGACAGAAACAATTGTCTTTGAACTTATGCTGCAGAGGCACTGAAGGAAACTTCTATTCATTAAAAACAATATGTAAGAAGTAAAGTGAAGAGAAACCAAAATAAAGCATATATAAATTGAAAAGAGGTGCTATACAAAGAAAATTATGCTAATTGAACTAAATCAATTTCTAATTAGACAATAAAAAAAAAAATCAGTAAAAATTTCTAACAGTAAAGCTCAGAATACTGTTCACTTTAATCAAAGGCAATGTAATTACCAAGTAGTCATCAATACCAGGAGCCACTGTGTTACGTGATGCTGCAGAGTTGGTGGCTATGCTCTCTTCACTTTGCCTATTGGGACTGGTGAAAACTAGCAAACAAAGCCCAGGGTTGATTAGGTTTGGTAAAGGTCAGGTTGATGATTGGATGCATCTCTTCAATACCTAAAGGGATAGGGAATGTACCACCTCCCTGAGGAGCCTGACCACCCTCTCTGTGAAGAAATTCTTCCTAACATCCAATTTAAACCCCTCCTGAAACAATTTGAGACCATTTCCTCCCCTTTTATCAGTTGTCAAAGAAGAAAAAAGACAGACATCCTCCTTGCTTCAGCCTTCTTTCAGGTGGTTATAGGGAGGGATGAGATTTCTCCTTAGCCTCCTTTTCTCCAGTCTAAACTACCTCAGTTCTCTCAACTTCTCCTCATAAATCTTGTCTTCTCATTTCCTCATCATCTTTTTTGTTCTTTGCACACAAACAGAAAGGGGAAAAGTAAGGCCACTGCCTGGTCTGGAAACCTCCAGTAACAAGGCTGTTGGGAGACAGGCACATTTTAAAGAACTCCAGTGAGAAACCGCTCACCTCCATAAGGACAGCTGATACTTTTGTGTTGTTGAAGAATGGGCTTTCTTCATCAGTGAAAATACTGTGTTGTTGTTGTTGTTATTGCTGTCCATTTGTCCCTTTTTCCATAGGTTCACAATGTAACTGTTGACTCTATAGGCTCATGTCAATAAAATTTGACAGAAGGCAAGGTCTGAAAGACACAAGATGCCAATAAGATGTCTGTTAAACATACGACTTGGCAGTTTGAGGGAGCCCCAGCTGTATGCAGTACTTCTGCCAGTAACTGAGAGACAGCGGCAGGCTGGTGAGCCAGCATACCTGTGGGTCTTGGCTAGTCTGAGCACCTCATCCTGTGCCCAGTCAAGCAAAAGAAACCACGGAAGAGAGAGGACAAAACAGAGGGGACTGAGGTCAGGGATTGTAGCAAACATGAAAGGATCTACATTTCCACATGGAGAGGGCAGAGGAGGTGAGGGTATTAGTGGGGGTGGGGTGGGGAAGGGTGTAGGAGATGTTGGGAGATAAGGTGAGGTGTGGTGGAGGGGATAGAGAGGGCAATGAATGTAGCAAGACATTGATTAGGTCATTGAGGGAATTCACACATCTGTTGCACTCCCACCTGCATCCTGTGAGTTTTCTTCATACGGTGGGCTGGATAGAGGAGGTGATTTTCCTTATGGATCTTACAGATGTATAATGAAAAGGATTTCATGCTGCAAATTCAGTACAAATCTGTCAAGAAATCAATAAGTCATGAAATGCAAACGCAGTTAGCAGGCATAGTTGTTTACAGTTCTTCAAGTATGTGAGAAGGAGTCCTGTGAGCCTGGCTCACTTTATGACTTAACACAGGAAAAGTTGAACAGCTTTTCCACTGCTTTTCCCAAATTTCATTCTCACAAAAATGGACTTTTTAGAAGAGAAGAAAATTTTGATATTTTCAGCCTCAAACCATAAAATGTTTTTAAGTTACAGGCATGTGTAAAAAATGACCTGCTAAAAGACGTTCTGCAAACTTGGCTGGATCATTTCTCTGCACAAATTTGTTCTAAACTTTTCCATGTGAAAGAGCTGGAAGTGTCTGCTTTCCACTGAGTGGTTGCAAGATATCTGTTCCTTCTCTCTCCTACAGCTTCAACTAAACTGATTTGCAGTGTGTGAATACAGATCAGTTCAGAAATCTTTCTGTCCACTGCAGTGGAGGGCACTACCTGTTTCTACTACCTCTGCATGTCAGACACATTAGTGGTATAAACTGTGGTAGCCTCTTTGTTGCAGTTATGTCTTCACTGGAAGATAAATATGTATTTTTATCCAGGTTTTATCCAGGTTAGATGTGATTATGTGCATCCATGCAGATATGACCACAATAAATGATGTAGCAGAGTGCAATATAACTAATTAGCCATCTCATTGTAGAAAACACAGGTGGGACAAGCACTTAGATTTTGCTGTGAAATAAATTATAGTATTTGGCCTATCTCCACTAGCAACATCATGATAAATACTGATACTTTATGATTTTAGAGGAAGTCAACAAAATATATTTATTGCACTGTAAGAAACACAAAGCATTCAGTGTCAGTAAAATGATGCTTATGGAAAGAGCTATACATTCATACTTAATGTTGTTTAATCACTGGCAACTTTGCAAACTTTTGATGCACAGTTCATCTCAGATGCTAACTCAAGTGAACACTGTAACTGTACTTTCCAAACAAATGTTCAACAATTTGCTATTTGCTGCATAGTAGTGCACACACTATATTTGTGGGTTTTTTTGTTTTTTTTTTTCTCAATAGTTAAAACATATCTGAGAGGTTCTACTAAATTGTAGACCAGGGAGTTTTCAAATAAGATAGATACTCCGAGTTTTCCCTTAAGCATCATATTTCCAAGGTTTTAGAGACTTCAGCTGGAGAAAGAAAATAAGAAAAGAAAGAAAATCAAGAAATACAGAATTTGTTTCACTAGTTTATCATTTTTATGCCTTTTTTCATTGTTCATCCCTAGCAATGTAAAAAGTTCCCATATATATGCCAGAAGTGCTTCCTTCTGTTATGGCAAGGCAAGGACAACATCTATACAGGAGTTTAGTGAAGAGTGAGTTCACACGTACTGTACAAGCTTCACCAAGACAGCTGGATAATACATGTAGTTTAATAGTTATATGACTATTTTTTGATTATCTCTTAGAATGTTGTAATATGCAGAAGCTGCCTTTCTCTGAGGCAGACTTCTGTATCTCAGCATCTATTAGATTACTTTCTAGGAGTTACCACTATTAAAAAGTCAGCAACATTTTCTGAGAAGCTTTTCTTCTCAAATGGACATGATGCCATCTTTGCCTTCCCAATTTTCATTTTCCTATCCAGATCTCGATGTGTATCTAAGGGTTCTGTGCTGAGCAAGTTTGCATAAAAAAGCTGATGAAAGTTAGTTAGCTGACTTTGTGTCACATAGGTAGCAGTCAATGAACTGCTGCTATCGATTATTAGGAAGTTGTTAACTTGTTCTTGACTGTAATCTTACACTGTGGTAAATGTTTTGACATTCTCTCTTTATAGTACCTGCATGCAAATGGGATTGTGCACCGTGACTTGAAGCCAGAAAATCTACTCTATGCAACACCAGCACCAGATGCACCACTGAAAATAGGTAAGCACCATCAAATAGTTGCTTCCCTAATTCCTTTGTACCAGTAGTATGTGTTAACTATATATACTTCTCACTGTTACTTTATTCTAATCTAACGCTAATACTCAGATGCATGGCATATTTCTTCTTCAGCAGCATGGTTGTGCATGGTATTTTAAAAACAAACACAAAGCTATTCTCTTGTCCTGGGAAATTTACAGCTAAAACCATACAGAAAGTGGCAGATGGTAAAGAGTGTGGGAGGAACAAGATGGATCATGAGATTAGCGTACAGACGTACTTCTCTGTCTCTGTTCTGTTAAACTAGTATTTTAAAGGAAAAGATTCACTGAAGGGTGAGGAGATGGAGGTGATGTCAGGCTCTCCTGAGCTGGGGGTGTGTTAAGCCAATGCCCTCATGAGCAGCAGCCACTTGCCTAGAGCCTGACCTTCAAAGCTAGGTATGCCCAGCTCTTGTTGGAGCGAAGAGGAACTCTGAAGAAGCCTGCTGGTGTAGTGTGGTGTGGTGTTGTGTTGTACTATGCTGTGCTGTACTGTTTTGTGTTGTGTTGTGTTCTGTTGTGCTCTGCTGTGTTCAGCCATGGGCAGCTGCTGGGCAAGGTCATACAGAGCAGTGAATTACCCCCTGGTGGAAAGTGGGCTGTGGCAGTTCAGATGTGTTAAGCAGGAAAAGGACTGATTTGTACATACTAAAAGAAAACCAACAAAAACCCTGAGCCTTCTGCTCTCTTCTTCTTAAAGAAACAGAGCTCTGCCATGCACCCAGCAGGTGATACTCCACGTGCGCTGTGCTCCTGAACTGCTATCAGTTTAGAAATACTGCCTCATGCTGCCTTGACAGGGAGCACGTGAAGTGAGGACGTGAAGGAAGCAAGAGTGAAAGTGTTGCCATGTTCATCACGGGTTTCAAGGATCCAGATTTCCAAGAACTATTTGCAAGCACTTTCATACACATTTCTAGGAAAGTCTTGCATCTCCGGATCGTAGTATCCTGATTTACATTCTGTCCTTGTTCTTATCTTTCCTGGAAAGGCTCTGATGATGTAATTGTTTAATGCAGCCTTGGTGTGATGGCCAGAGTGGTGTAAGGGCTTCTATAGCATTCGCCCAAAGAGGAGCACTACTAGGGATGCCCTCACCTCCATTCTCAGCTTACCTTCCTTCTTCTTCCCCAGAGGCCAGCCTGTGCCCAGCATTGCTACCATACCAGTGAGTGGCAAATTAGATAAAATTGAAGTGAGACAAAGGTACAGCTTTTTAAAATGCATTTCTGTATCACTGATTGTGTGCCCTCAAGCATCTCATTGCATTGGGTGTATGCAGTCTTCAGGATACACAAGTTAAATTTGGGTCAGTCAGGAGCCAGGAAAACCCATTTGTACAGACAAATTTTAGTTCTGGATTGCAGTCTGGGTAGATTCCTTAATTTGGCCCTCATCTCTGGAAATGACAGTACTGTTCATTTAACTACATATAAAATGTGAGAAAAGTGATTTTACAAGGAAATGAAAATGCTAACATTTATAAAAAATCTTAACAGCTGATTTTGGACTTTCCAAAATTGTGGAAGATCAGGTGACCATGAAGACAGTTTGCGGAACTCCAGGGTACTGTGGTATGTTGCTTTGTTATTTACATAATGATGGATTTAATGTGAGGATGTTACATTTTTTCTTTCCAGCCTGCCTTCAAAGGAGAGGTATTCATATTGTCCACCTTAATCAAATCTACTAAGCTTAATCAAAACATATGTTTTGGTGCAAGTCCATTATTTGCGTGGCAATAAGTCCAAACATCATAAAAATACTGAAATTACTAAAATAATACTGGAGAGGCATCAGCAGAAATTTGGGGTATGGAAGGCTTAATGGAAAACTTTAAAAATGTATAGAAATTACAAATATTTGAATATTAACCTTAGTGAATTTATCTTAAAATAATACTTTCTTAACACAGAGGAAATCAAAGTATTCTTTATAGCATGCTCATAATTTAACTGCCTAAATCCAAAGCATTTAAGTAAACACATGGTTTTAAATGCACGCTTTACTTGGAATATTCTGGTCCATGCTGGATTGGGACCCATATAACAGAGGACTACAGGTGTAGTATCAGTGCTGAAAGGAGCCTTGCAGACTGTCCAGCAGCTTTCGGCAGTGCATCCTGTGCACACTGCTGGGCCCCCAGTTCAGCATCTTTATGCACAGCTGCACTTCTGGTGAAGAGAGGAGAAGCTTGCCTGGACTCTTGGGGCCACCAAATGCAGCAGAACTGGATCCTGCACTGCCAGAACATGAAAAAGAAGGAGACCCCATGTAAAAGAGGATTGCAGCTGCCTCTGCAGTCTGCTCACCCTTCACTGCAAGGAACTTCTGCGTGAGGAAAGAAGCTGGTGGCCAAGGAAGTTGGTGATCTTGTTTACCCCGAGGCAAGCTTCCTAGTCTTGGCATGGTGGATGCTCACCCCCAGCAGCCACTGTAATCCTGTGGAGAAATGTATTTCTGGTGTCCTTCATGTACTTCTGGCCCTGAACGGGCTCATACGAGAGGTTGCAACTTCCTAGCAGTGTGCTGGGCTGTAAGCCTCTCAGGTAGTGTTGGACAGAGCTGAGCCAAGCCATATGGAAACTAGAAATCTGACATTTGCCTTTTTAACTGTAGAAGCAAAGGAAAGAGAACATGGGAGAAGACGATAAGATTATTGAGCTTATAGCCCAGCTGATGGTGCAGTTCAGGTGACATGCCCATTAGCTTGTTGTATCTTTCTCTGTCTAGCACACACAGCTGCCAAGAATGATTTGGAGTAGCGCTGGGTTCCTATCCGCTTAGCTTCATCAGACTGTACTTTGAATATTGACTATTAATGGTCTTGTCTTCTCTCATGGTTGTTATGTTACAAATGCCATAAAATTATAGATAACATTTAGCCCTTTTTATGCCTATTTTTATATACTATTAAAATATTATGATAAGGCTTTTTCACACATAAGAGCCCTCAGAGTAGTGATGGTTTGGTGTGAGGGTTGAGGCTGAATGGCTGTGTTGAGGAGTGGTGAAAGGAGCTTTGTGCCTGCAGACACAGACCTGCAATCACTGCTTCATGACCTGAGTTAACCAACCCTGCAGAATTCCTGGTGCTTGGAAGGTAGTAATAAAGCATTACTTTCCACAAATGGAGGAAACCCAGGTGTGATACTGTTGAAATGCCAAATTAAACTATGAATAATTGATAGCTACAGGCTGCCAACTCCCACATCCTGCCCACCCTACTATCAGCAGCTTCTCCAGGAAGGACACAGCAAGAAAAATATACAGTTGGAGTGAGGATACTTTGGCATCAAGACTTAGCAGTCCATAGTCCCTGTAACAAGCAAAGGGATGCGGAAGACTGAAAGAAAGATGTTAACAAGGAATTTAACCTGTTAAGACATTGTCCTTTGAATGAACTTAACAAGAGGGGCATAGGTGATTGCTTACAGTAGCACAGGAAAACAAGGCAATGCAGTGCAGTGATTCATGATCAGTCTGTTACAGCCAACATCTAAATTAACAACACCTCAGTGCAATTCATTTGCCAAAAGCAAACTTTTGAAAGTACACAAACAAGCATACAACTGTGTAATCACAGTGTAGACATCAGGGCAGACCTGGATGGATGGATGGATGGATGGATGGATGGATGGATGGATGGATGGATGGATGGATGGATGGATGGATGGATGGATGGGGTGAGGGTGTTGGTGTCTTTGTGGCCATTTTACGGTGGAAAGAGGAGGAAAGTGGAAAAAAAGGGCTAAAAGCTTCTTCTGCCCTTATCTCAAGCAAGAAGTCATCCCCAAAAATGTTGTTTGCTTTAGAAAAAACATATCAGCCATCAAAAAGAAAAAACGTCCTGTCTAGTTCATAGCACACCATCTGGCATTAGCAAATATGACAGAGGGAACACTGAGTGACACCTCTTTTCTTGGACTATCTGCATGTCTTTCTCTAAGGTCATTGGTTGCCTTGCCTCTAGGCTGTTCTGTTAGCTACAGGTTGATCTGAGTTCAAACCCATTGGGACCTGGTATCCCTCCTCAAAAACTCACCTGCTCACCACCTGACCTGACAGAAGAATGAAGAGGCAGGGAAAGTTTCCCAGGTGTGAAAGTACTATATGGCAAAACTTGCTTGGAGCTGAGAGCCTGGGGACATGAGGTGCTCAGGGTGGGCACATCACAGTTTCAGTGTGCAGAAGTGCACATTTTTGGTCACACGTGGCAGCAGCAGCTACTGCCTGCAGGGTGAGCCAGGCTGCTCAGCTTTCCTCAAGGTCTGATTGTCAAGCTACTCAGACAAAGGTTGACTCTACCATTTTAGAGCTAGAGTCCCCCAAGAGCACCATTTCTTTCCACCTTCTCTGCCCTGCAGAAGCAGCAATTGCCTAAACTGGTCTTGTCTTTCCTCGGGTAGCTGAGGAGCTGGGAGCTAAGAAAAGACCTATTTCTGAGGCAGTAGGACCTGCAGTTCCTCAGCTGCAGACAGAGGGAGGCAGTCCTCAGTTTCCTTGTAATGCAGTGGAGTTTACAAACCAAACTAAAGCATAGGACTACAGTTAAGGAAAAAAAAAAAAAAAAAAAAAAAAAAAGGACTGGGGAAGGAAGGGGTAGGCTGTGGAAGAAAAAAAAAAAGAAAATCCAGATGTGGTCAGAATGGTGGGTTGGAATAAAATATGCCTACCGTGTTACACATCAGCATTAGATATATTCATACAGTTAAAATACCAAAAATAAAGCCCCAATAAACTACAAAGTAAACCAAATACCAAAGTTAGAATGCCACCTCCTTTGCCACACTGCATCTCCAGTGCTGATGTGGCTATCCCTTTTACTTGTGCAAATCTAACCTAAAAAGCCATCTGACACCAAAGTTTACCTCACTGTGTCACTTTGCACTTTATTCTTCCCGTGCTTGGACATCACTTCTGTTGCTTTATACTCAGTGGAAGGAATCACTTGTCTAATTAAGGGCTTTAAGGAGCAGGCCCTAAAAATTATCATGTTAATCATAATCATAAGGACGATCTCTTTCAAAGATTCCTGTAAGCATGCACATAGTTTATGTCGACTTTTTTAACTGTTATTTCTGCATTCAAGTTTCATCTTGTTGACAACACTTTTATCGTCTGCAGCACCAGAGATACTACGAGGATGTGCCTATGGCCCTGAGGTGGACATGTGGTCTCTGGGGATTATCACCTACATCCTGTAAGTGCAGGCAGTGCTGTGGGGTGGTATGTAGCTAGTTCCTTTGGTTTAAAATACAGCAACTGCATTTTTTTATGGCATTATGTATGGAATATGCTATTGGAAAACAAAAAGATGCAGAACTTGAGTTGTGATGTTCCTAATGTTGTTTAAGGAAGTCAAAAGCTAAAGGAGCGTGGCAAAATACACAGGTGATGTATTTGATGAATATAACACTTCATCATGAATAGCAGCAAGGTCTGCACAGAACCATGCTGTTAATGTGAATGAACTGCAGTGAAGATGACGAAAGCAAAGAAAAAAAAAGAAGTCAGTAAGTGTTGTACATTCTTTCCTCTTTCACAGAAACTACAAAATGTACCATTATTCTAAGTAACACCTCAATTTCAGACTGGGCAAAGAGAAGCTAAGGTGCATGCAATAGTTTTGCAGTGCCTCTGAATATTGCCGAAGACATGTTCCTCTGTGTCAGCCACGTATGCTGCAGCAGCTTTTGGCTGCAGACTTAGTTCTGCAGTCTCAGGCTCAGCCCCACCATAGCCAGGAGGCAGGGGACAGCCCTGGACCTTGTCTTCAGATCAGTCTGATTGGTAAAATGATAATGATGAAAAAGAAGTGTTCCACCTCTTACAAAATATCCAGAGATTCAGCTGGTAAAGGGCTGTGAGCAATGCAGGCCATTTCTAAAGAGCTGAAATTTCAGCTGTAGACCATTTCAAAGAGTTGTGTCTAAAGATAAGCACTTACTGCTGCATTTTAATATGGCTAGTCCTAATTCAGTTGGCAAGCATTGCAATTATTTTATGGCATCAATGGCATTTTTCAAAGAAAGAGTTTTGAGAAGGGAAAATCGTGTCCATTGTACTGACACTTCTCTTTATGGGAGAATAAATAACTTCATTTATTCCCTTGCCAACATGGATGCTAAACTGGCTTGTTGTATATGATACTTGTGGGATGCCTTTAGTAGAAAGAAGACAGAATTTTGCAGATATACATTAAAAATACAGAATGTTTTCTATATTTAGGCTTATTTTTTTTTCTCCTTCTAAAATTCACTATCTGTCCAGCAAGTACAGCACGTAATAGTACAAATATTTTGTTTCTATATTTTGGAAAGACACAATTACATTTTTTAGGGTTTATAGTAAAGGTACTTGCAATGGTATATAAACACTCCGATGGGAATACCAGAAATCTTCTGTACATCAGCTTCAGATAATTCATTGATCTCCTTTTGTGTCCCTGTAGGAATAATTGGATTCATTATTCCTACAATATGCCAGAAAATACATGTTTCTAATAATGATGAGTTTTGGAGGCCATGCTTTCCATTCTTTTCATGGTTTTGTTGCAATTGTTTTAACTGTTCCTTTAAAAATGTGAATCTTTGTCTCAAGGCATGGTTCAAGTCTGTAGATTATGTCTCAAACATTGCCTGCTCTTACACCCAGTGTCCTGATAATGCCAGCTTGGGTACCATCCCACTTACACTTTTATTTCAGCTCATATAGTTCATTTGTGTACAATTCCAAGGCTGAGTTTGGTAGGAGGGTGGGTCATTTGTGCAGGCAATCGTTTCTCATCAGCTCTAGTGCCCACACGAGAGAGATGGAGGGATTTGAGGTTTGCCACAGGGCTGTCACTGAGATTAGGAGAGGTGCCTTTTGTTGTCCCTTTACAAGGATGCATGAATTAAGGCATAGGCTTGCCTACCTATTGAGCAATTGATGAATAGCTTTTCTGCTTGAAGTTGAGAGCTTTCTTTAAGCAGAACTTGCTTTCAAGTGTAGTCAAGCACCAACTGAGAACATATAGCAAATTCCTATTTTAATATATGAAGTGGTATTTGCTATGTGCAGCCTTTCTAAATCTTCCAGTTGTTCAGGACATGCTCCCAAGCCATTAAATCTCTGCACTGGTGTAAACAAGCACGTGAGCTCCTGCTGTGCTTCCTCTTCCTGGTCTTCTTCTCATCCTGAACCATTGAAACCCCATTTGACCTACAGGAACAAGCCAGACAAAAAAAGGGTACCAGTCTGTTGCATCTGACTGTCTCTTCCATTTAGCCAGTGAAGCAGTGACCTGCAAAGCTTTGCAGGTCAACTTTTCTAATAGGTTAGAAGCTGAGACCAGACAGGCAGGCACCTGAACAGCAACTAATTCATTAATCCTGCAGCCTAAAGGACAATGTTGCATGTCCCATCCTCATATTCCAGCAGATGGGATGCAGATATGTTCAATCCAAAAATGTCTTGTTGAATATGCCTCCCCTCCCAACAGAACATATGTAAGAGTTAACTACCATGCTACAGAAGACGTGCATATAAAGCTTTGTCTTCTCACTAATACAAAGCTGACTTACCAGGTGACTAAAAAACTTTGACACATACTTGACAAAAAAAATAATTCCTGATGTTAATTGACAGAAAAAATAATTCCTGATATTAACTGTCATAACTCCAGGGAAGCCACACTTTTAATAGCGTAGAGGAGCAGTCCTTTTGTATTCTTGCAACAGGTTAGAAATACTACTGCTCATTCAAGAAGCAGATAGCAGTCAACAAATATGTAGGTTTCACCTGTAGTCAAAATTGCATGGATTTAATTAAAAGTATTTTTTAACAATGGATTTAAAAGTGCAAAAAGCACTGTCTGGTACTGTGTAACTAATTTTTAACCTGATTACATTGAATTTTTTTAATTTATTTAGTAAATGATTTAAAATGAATCAACATAATGCTATTTTAAATGAAATCAAGAGCAGCCATGCTGGGTTTTAACATAGTTTAATTTATCTAATTTGAAATTGCACCTATAGTTTTACTGGTCTAACAGGACATGTAGTGAAAAGTCTGTCTGCTGAAATGGAAGTTTTTGGAGGGTGAAAGTGTATCTATAGTGATTGTTAGTAAGACAACAGTAGCTAATAGTAGTGAGTAATGATGAAAATATTTTTAGGTGTAAATAGAGAATCACTTAGAAGGCATCCAGCACAGTGAGAGCAAGCCTTGAGCATGGTCTCACTGCATGTAATCAGTTACCTGGTAACCAGAGGCTAATTTTGGCTGAAACAGTTGTGGCCCAAGGACTCGGCTCATCAGAGGTGCTCCCTGGGGAAAGGAGCTGACCTGGAACAAGCTCACAAATGGTGCTGGGAGTCAAAGGGGGGGAAAGGGGCAGGGTAACCATGACTGGCTCTTACCTACCAAAGTGCAGTATTTGTAGGCTGGATCCTCATATTATAATCCATCTCTGCCAGACTTGGAGATAAATAGTGCCCCTGGAATGTGCTCACAGGGCAGGATTTTTCCTCTGCAGCAGTCCAGTGATGCAGCTGTTCTGGCTGCACACCACTCTTTAAAAAACATTTGTTGCTTGAACAGCTGTCTCCTTTTTCAGGAATGTAAGCACACTGACTGACTTTAAAATATAAGAAGTTAACATGCAAGGTTATGTTTACTAGATTTGTTGTCATCTTGTTCTTTTCAGTTTGCTGTCATCCTCATGTTGCTTGTTGCATTTTCTGGAGACAGAGTAGAAGATAGGCTAGTTGAAGATATAGCTTTTTTGTAGCTCAGAAAACACTTACTGGTTGATTAAGAAATGCACTTTAAAACATCAGATTATGTGTGCAAACATGATTAAAGTGCAATGAAGTGCAAAAATGACATTATATAAGTAGAACCACTTCTATTAGTTTGCCTTCCCCAGGGTCAGCAATGTGGATCTGTCGGGATCTGTATTATTCTATATATTCATAAATACATTCATTAGTGAGGTTACCAAACTTCCTGATAATACTTAGGTTACCCAGGTAAAGATGAAAGCTGCTGATGAAAAGCTGCTAAAGGATTTTGTGTTACTGAGTGCCTAGGTGATAGGATGAAAGAACGTACAGTGATGAACATAATCAAAAAACAGTGCTGACTTGACATAGAAAAGCTTCTATCTTCACAGGCAAAATGAAGGCTAATTCTGTTTTCTCAGGGAGCACATAGAGGGATTCTGATAATTGCTCTCTGAACGTGTTAACTCTCTGCTTGTAAACATTCCAAACAAGTGGGTCTAAGGTCAGGAGTTGCTAGGAAAGTAACGGAGATTAAAATCAAAAGCATTCATCAAAAGTTTCTTAATAGGCAAGGCCACAGTGTGCCCATGCTGACTAGCATTCGCACCCACTTCAAAAAGACTCAGAGCTGGAGAATATCTACAGAAGAGGGCAGGAAAGAGCAAAGGCTTCAGGCTGAGCAATGACTAATTGTCATGATCAGCTGTTTGCAGTTTTCCTCCAGAACAATCACAGGGCTCACTGAATGAAAGCTCCAGAAGCAGACTCCCACCAGGGTGTGCAGCTGGCCCTGGTGCACCCGTCCGCAAGATGTGGGTGCAGCAATTTTACAGCAGTTCAGAAAGTGACGGGAAAAGATCAGATGAAAGATCCAAGGAAGTGTATTTGGTACAAACACATCAATTTCAGCTAAAGAAGTCTGAGAGCCATGAATCACAGTTTTTCTGCTCCTCCCTAGATGTCTGATTTTAGCTAGTCAGAGGCTGGAATACTTAATGAATGGTCTGACATTTTATGGCTGCCGTTGCATTACGCTCCTGTATTAATAGTTCCAATTACAGGTATGTGACAATGGAAAATAATCACTTTGACCAGCCATTACCAGTATTCGTGAGCTATTACAACCACACTTTGGTTTGCTCTGTCATAGAAGTTGTGTGCAAAGTTCATGTGCACATCCAGGTCTGTTTTCCAAAGCAGCATACAGACCATGAAGTACCAGGAACTGAGGCCAAGTAATGCTTGATGAACTTCTCTTTCTTTTATCCTTGCAGACTCTGTGGCTTTGAACCATTTTATGACGAAAGGGGAGATCAGTACATGTTTAAGAGAATCCTGAACTGTGAATATGACTTTGTGTCCCCCTGGTGGGATGATGTGTCTCTGAATGCCAAGGATTTAGTAAGTAAAACAAAAACAAGAGTGCAATACCTTTGCTAATATATATTTTATTACTTTCACTTACACTGGAAAAGAGAGTGCATTTTAGGGTGGGGTGAGGGGAAGAACAAGTGGTTAATTAATTGCTTATGTGGCTCCTTGCTTTTCTTCTTATCACTGTTTAATTATGGTGCTGTAAAATATCCCCTGGTAGCCCACTGCTGTAATTTTACAGGTTAATAAGCACTCAAAACCATGGATATTGAGGTCCATCTGTGAACAAAGCCACAGATTGTTGGTGATCAAAACTGCATTCATCTATGCCTGGCTTTCTCTCTCGCTCTTGAGATGTTTCATTGTTCCGGTTTTCCAGGGCATCCACCTTCAGGGAATGTTGAAACAGACCCTATGTCCTGTGCAGTTCTCAAGTCAGAACTGTCAGAACTTCAGAAGACGAATACAAAAAGATGATAAAAAGTGATGTGTCATCCCCCCCCCCCCCCCCCTCATTTTGCTGACAGCTTTTTTCTGTCTATTTAAACACTTTCTCACACTTTCTCAGTAGGTGTATAAATGTAAGGCCTATTTGTGCTGTATTTGTTTATCCAATAAAATACTGGATAAAGTAAATTTGATCCAGGGGTATGTCTGCAGTGCTGTGTTTCCAAAATTTCCCACTCTTGTGTTTGGAGAGGTGCAATTCTCCTTATCACAACAGCAAAAACAGTGGCATAGGTAGCATTAGTTTCAGAGTGGACTAAGAGAGAAATACTTACATGGTACTTTCCACTTCACGTTTACACAAAGTTTTGCAGTGACTGAATGAAACACTTGATTTTTGATATGACTGCATGGTCCAATTCTGCACATGGAATAAGGTTAACAGTCTTGTGCATTTTATCTTTGTGATGCAGGTTAAAAAGTTAATTGTTTTAGACCCCAAGAAACGCCTCACAACTCTACAGGCTTTGCAGCACCCATGGGTGACAGGAAAGGCAGCAAATTTTGCACATATGGACAATGCACAAAAGAAACTTCAAGAATTCAATGCCCGGCGTAAACTTAAGGCAAGTCTCTGGACATAGTTTCTGTTTTGGCTGTGAAAGTGTGCAGTAAAATCCGTAGCTTACAGGGGCCTTGCAGACTTTCCAGAACAATGTCCATGTGGTGGTATGGAAGCTTTTTATTTAAGATAACTGATGTAGGTGGAAAACTTGAAAGTGATTTCATCAGTGTCTGCAAAGAGACAAAAAAAATATGAGGTTGACTGAAAACTCTGCACAGACAGAACTGCTGAGAATGTACACAGATTTCCCAAAATCTCTCCCTTCCTTCCTTCCTTCCTACGTACATGCATGCATGCATACATACATGCATGCATGTATATACATCCTGCTTAGTGCTGTTTGCTGCACCCTTGGAGTGCTGACCAGAAAGAACAAAATTCCAAGTACTTTCTTAAGAAGATATACATCCATAAATCTGGAAAATATTTAGCCTACTGCAGAAGCTTTTGATATGTAAGCTACCTACAGTAGAAACAGATATATATATATATATATATATATATATATATATATATATATATATATATATATATATATAATATAGAAATACAAATATATAGAGATAATATAGAAATACTTATCAATATGAAACAGGAACATAAGCCATCCTGCTGTATGATCTAGAGCTAGCATTTTCAACATCTTGGGCTGTGATTAATAGGCCCAAAATATGTGTTTGCAAGTACCTCTGAGAACAAATGTGGAATTACTTATCTGGAAATTAAGTGTTGTAAGGCAAGACTGCAGGCAGGACCTGCAGTGAGAATTCCATTAGATTTTGTGTCACCACATTGCTCTTTTACAATCTAATCTATTTATCTGCCTTGGTAGGAAGCAGGGAAAAAAAAAAATAAGGTGCAAATTGCAGGTGACTGGGCACCTAACTGGTATAATGTCAGGAAAATTCCTTTTTCCCTAGTCCCTTCTTCAGTTGTTCAAGATTTGTGTCTGCTTAGAAGAAACTCCCAGGGCTACTTCAGCATGGAAATCATTCCCAAGAGCTACTTGGGAAACTGCCTTTGTAGCCCTGGGGAACAAGAGTTAAAAGCATCTTGACTGTGAACTTTACAATATCATGCAAAATGAAATTCATGCAGAAATTACCCTTAATTTTGTTTTTGATTATTTTTTTTTCAGTGTTATTAGGGAACTGTGACAGAGAATCACTACAGAGCGAAGAAAAAAGTTTTGTCATTTATTAAGTTCTTGGATGTGGTAGATATAATTCAGTGATGCTTTGCCCCTGCAGAGCTGGCTAAGCGTGTCTATTAACATTGCTCCCTTCCAAAAGATTTCTGTAACCTTACAGCAGGATTGCTGTGCATTCATTGAAGAAGCTGTATAACGTTGTTACATCAAAATGATTTAAGAGCACTGAACAAAGTCATAAAATTCATTATTTCTGAATGAACTGTTACATTCCCTGCCCAGGAGGTCACAAAGAACCATGTGCCCTTTTTGCATGTTTTGGTCTTGATTCTCTCTATAGTCTTACAACTTTGACCACTAGCTTGATTTTTTGAAGTTCAGTTTATTTAGACCAATTTAGTCAACAAACTTGTACCTCTGTGTTTAAAAGCTGTTGCTTTTTATGAATTTATTTCTTCATTGCTTTTCCGTCAAAGGCTAAATGACCAATTCTGTAATTATTAATTAAAAATAATTTATTAAAGTTTGCAGTTATTGTACAGTTTTAGTTTTATACCTACATGCACATAAAACAAACTGTAAATTTATAGATAATTAATTCTTGTTCATGAAAACAAGAACGAAGAAGAAAAACAGGCAGTGAATAAAAACTATTTATTTTGTTAATATTATAAGAATAATATAAAATTACGCTTTCTGTCCCAGCATACGAGACCAGTTACAGACTTTTCTTTAAATAAAGAATAATTCTAAAGAATAATTCTAATAAATACAGAATAATTCTAAAGCTCTCAGTTATTATATATATTTTTTATAGATTTGTTGATTTTTTTCATAAATATTTACATGCCTAGTGAGAGTAAATGACATTAAAAGTATCTTTATACATTCAAATATCAAGTGGCTTGTTCTGTTTGTAACCTGTTTTCTGAAATGCTCTCGCCATTTAATATAGATACCTGTGATTTTCCTTTAAGAGGTCTAGACTCCCACCTTCAAAATTCCCACTTTTATTCTGTCATTTTGACTTCATATTCTGATGATGATTCTTCACTGATGCCAACTTTTATATAACCTGTTTTTTCATTAGTATCTTTTTTTGTCTGTTTGCATGGTTGTTTTGTTGTTGTTGTTGTTTTGTTTGTTTGTTTGTTCTTTATTTTTTTTCACATGGTCACCTCTACAAAACTATCCACAAATACATATAAACCTTCTCATTCCTTCCCGCAGACCGACGTCTGTGATGCTTATGCAAACAGCCACCTAGGTCAACAAGACCTAGAGTTGTCGTACACAAAGACAGTGTTTCTTCTTTCTGTTTTTGTTTTGTTTTGGTTTGGTTTTGGTTTTGGTTTTCTGGCAATAAAGGCAAGGGCTAAGAAAACTGCCTTTATGTGTGTCCTCCCTTTTTGATGTTTTTGACATTTTATACACTATGAGAGCCTGTCCCAAAAATTTATTTCTTTGTATATGTGTCTGTAGATATATATATGTGTTTATACATATATATGTGCATATGTGTAAATATAACCTTATGGGCAGCTGCCCATATGCCATCCACTGGTGTGCTTGGCATATGCAGTAGTGATAAATATTGTTTCCCTTGAGTAATCAATGGTAATAAATTTATTGGTAGAATGGAAAAGAACTCTGTTTTTGCCATCTAACTTCAGAGCAGGAGGTTTGAAGTAGTTTTTAAAAATAACACCACATGTGCAGATGAAATAAAATTCCTGTTCACGTTGGTGAACTTTGTAACCTTATGAAAGCAGCTCTTTTAAACCTCAGTCCAGTATTTCAGATGCCCTTCTAAATCTGACTGAGCTCATGCAGGTATCTGGATGACATTACCATGAACAGCAAGCACCATAATGTTCCCCAGCACAGTGTGATGCTAAGGCTGTAATGCTGGCAGGCTGTGTCCTTTAAGGAGTGATTGTTTGATCCTCTCTTTCTCAGGCTGCAGTAAAAGCTGTTGTGGCATCGACTCGCCTTGGCAGCGCCAGCAGTCACAGCACTCATGACAGCAACAAGCCCAGCCGTAACCCATCTCCCGTCCACGACGGCAAACCTGAAGAGAAACCCACTCAGGAAGCAGAAGCAGCTCCAGAAGAAATGTCTTAGGTCAATGTGCTTCCTTGTTTCAGCTGAAATCTGTCATTTCATACACCAGCTAACTTGTCATTCAGTAAGAGAGATTCGTAAGCTTGACCTCTCTGGTTCTGCTTTGGGGTGCCAAACGCACTGGCTGGTGATTCTACCTTCAATGCATGTGACTGCTTATGAAAATAGTAAACTGTTCCATAAGGCATGTCATGGAAACAGTGTTCTTTGCAGTAATACTGGCAGGTGAAAACATGGGAATGAATAACTACCTACCATAATGCGTATACTCCATATACAGTGTTTCTAGATGGCGTTTGAAACAAATACTATTTAATTCAGTTTTACGGAAGTAGGTGTCTTCTGTATGTCATGACTTTCTTTGAACTGCTTCCTTTCAGATTCATAGTCCTGCAGTAGACAAAATGGAAGGAAATACCAAACAAATAGCTTTTAAAAATAATGTATGAAATAATGCTTTTTACCTGTAAAGTTAAAAAATAATGAAAAAAGAAAAAAAAAAAAAAGAAAAAAGAAAAAAGAAAAAAAGAAAGTGTTTGGGGATTTATATGCAACAAACATTCCACTACTTCTGGGAAGAAATTGAAATGTTAGTTTGACTGGGCATGAAAATGTACATTCCTCAAGCTTGTTTTGAGAATGCCTTACTCTGACTTTTCCTGTTTATATACAGCATTTTAATGACAACCAAAATTACTCAGACTTCTGCTATCTCATTCTCTAGTAAACTGTTAGCCAAACGAAATGACAGAAGAATAGGGGATTAGAGTAAATGCAAATTTTTTGAATGCCGTTGTATTTACTCATGTATTTCTAAACTGTGCAGCTAGAAAACGTTTTTATAGGGCCTAAGGGAATAAACCGCAATTACAAAAGTTTTAAATGCTTGAAGGAAGCTATTCCACAACATAATGATTTTGCTCTGGGGAAACACTCTTATACAAGGTCTGGGAGACAGTAGTGTAATCTGGCTGCTTCCTAGATAGTTTAACCTCACGAGTAACCCATCTCACTCGTCAGCGCAGTTAGTTCAGATTTTCCCAACAAAGGGCCCCTCCCGCAAAATGATCCACCAGCACAGATCTTGCATCCACTTAGAGCTCCTGTGTCTGAAGTTACAAGCCTTGTGCATGGATCAGCTTGTGAAATTAGGATCAGGCTCTTCAGCTGTCTTAGTCTTTTTTTTTTTTGAATGTCATCGATAGGAACTGAGAAACTATCAAGAATCAGTATGTATGGCCGTTTACACTTCTTTGTTATCACTTTGATAGCATGGGGATTTCATAATGTTATTGATGTATTACAGAAATTGCAAAAAGAATCTGATGTACAACAATGTCATTTGTGTTTGTTAAACTTTTTAATGATGATAGTTGCCTAAAACCCTTACACGCTCAACATTCCTCATTTGCTTTGTTTTTATTTTAAGTTAGGCCTTGCACAACTTGCTTTCAAAAATATATTGGCTACCAAAAATAGTCACTGATAAAATATTCAAATATTCAGTAGCTACATTTCCTGATGAAATTAAAATAAAAGGTTCAAGGATGTCACTCACATGGTAGGTTTTCTAAATAAAATGTAATTTAGCTTAACACAAGAAAGAAGAGATAAGATACTGTCTTTACAAGTTATGGATGCATGCTAATGAATGTACTGTACTTGATTTTTTTTCCCATTTCCATTTCTTAAAACTCTTTGAACTTGTACAAAAAGATTTGCTAATTGAGTGAGGTTGAAATATAAAGTACATGCATCCAGCTTTTCCCTAGGTGGTGGCACACTTTGAGGCAGTACAGGGCCGTCAGCTGGAGAGGCTGGCGAGGGCCAGGCAGCTGTAGTCATGCTGAGGTCTCTGCCTGACCTTATCGTTCTCACTGTGAGCAGGGCAACAAGACACGTTTGCAGATTTTCCCTTGGAAAAAAAATCCTGTAGGAATAACCACTTTGGAGAAGGTGATGGGTTCATCCATCTGCCTCATTTTTTGCTGTCTTTCTTGTCTCCTATGAAGGGACTGCAGGACTAATGCATTTCTCAGCCACAGGTCTCCTCCCTCACAGCCTTGGAGGCATTGAAGTTGGGTCAGTGAGGGGGGTTAGATTTTGTAATGTTTCATCCTTCAGTGGGGACAGTTGCCTCTGACCTACAAAAGTCATTGCACACCTATCAGTGCTTGAGCAGAAATATCTTCATCTGAAACATGGTGTGTCTGAGATGAAAAGTAATATAGTTCTAGTTGAGTCTTAAATGTATATGCTGCTAAATTACACCGTGGTGTATCATAACTATGAACCAGCTCCATGCAACCAGAGACTGCTCTGTGAAAGCATGATCTTGGCAGCAGCTCAGGCTTGCGCATGAAGGCTCTGGGGCTTAAAATGGTTTTGCTTAGTTTTCTTTCATTATGTTCACTTTGAAACAATCAGGACGTCTGTGCTGAAGGAATTACCAATATGTGACTCAGGAAAATAGCATGGTTGGTATGACAATACTGTGCAGAAGGAACAGCAGCACCAGGGTGTATGCACTTAACTGAAGAAGGGAATGTTATGTGCATTGGTTTTGTCTGGAAAATCACACCCCATAATTCAGACCTGGGAGTGCAATGCCAGTGCTGTGTAATATTGTGGATAAAAAATACAAACACACCCTAAAGCTATTGGAGGCAGGCCAGTTCCACATCTGCAGTTATAAACTAGGTAAAAAATTAATGATGTCCTTTACTGTTGAAACCCTAAACTTTAAATTTTTAAAGTGTTCAATGTATCAGCAGAGTTCCTCAGGTACAAAAGGGAAAACCTTGCCATCTTCCTGAAATATCTGAACTTTTCCTTTATATGGAAATTGTAGTATTAGGCAATTAAAAGCTAAAATTTGGGAGTTATACTGCGGAGCTGGCAGCTGTTAAACTGACAGTGATTTCCTGCCTTTGCACAAGAAGAGGGTTTTTTACAAGTTCAGAAAGATTCACTCTGAAACAGTAACAGATTTCCTATCCTTCTGAATACCTTGTGGTTTTGCTTATGACACAGTAAATTGCACTGCATCCACCCACTGATGTCTTGTTAGCTGAAGATTGTATTTTTCAATTCTATCAAATTGTAATTTGGCATTGTGCAAGTAAAGATGCAGGCACACCATAATCAAACTTCTGAATGCAAAAGACCATAAGAGCAGTATTTTGATCCAACATGCCCTTCAGAAGATGGGCAGTAACAGCTCAGTCCCTGCAAGAGAGCTGGCTGTCAGGCATGTGAAGGTGAGTGACTGAGCATCCCCTTTGCGAGGACCCATGCCTTGGTGAATAAAGCAAAGTGCTGTGAAAAGCTACATGGTGCTAGAGTGGGATGAATATGGCAACCAAAAAGTCTTGGGAAGGGTCTTAGGCTAGCAGGAGCAGGCAGTCACAGGCTGGTGGGGGCTGCAGCTCAGCATTTGTTGAGTAAGGATCTGTCTCCTGCCGCTCCTGCTGCCAGTGAGGCATGGATGCATCTGGAAGTCACAGGGAAGTGAGGACACGTCCACAGTTATCACAGAATCACAGAACCATTTCCAGGTTGGAAAAGACCTCTAAGGTCACCTAGTCCAACCTAGCACTGACAAGTCTGCCACTAAACCAAGTTTCTAAATTCCTACATCTACATGTTTCTTGAAGACCTCCAGGGATGTTCCCTGGGCAGCCTGTTCCAATGCTGCACAACTTTCAGTAAAGACATTTCTCCAGCAAGGAGAGAGAAGAAGGTGTTAAGAGCTGTAAGAGTCCAAATTAGTGGATGGATAGCAGTATTTGCTAAACAGCAAGTACAGGAGGACTCTAGAAAATACACACATTTTCAAACAAGTGGCAACTGCTCCTCAGCTCCTGCACATGTCCTGGGGCATGCTGTTGGCAGAGTCCTGCCATGCAGCCCTCTGTTCTTTCAAGAGAATCACATGGAAATATGGGTGGAGGACTCGCAGCAGATCCTTGCACAGTGCCCTGTGTATTGTCTGCTTCCAGAGGGATGGACGCTCACAAGTCTCAGCACAGTGCCCTGTCTCCTGGCTTGTGCAAACATTTTGTATATTTCTTGGCAAATAATTCAGTTTTGTGTGGCTGACTCCACTTGTTGCTGCTCAGGTTACTGGAGTGCAGCCTATGTAGGTATGGCATTCAGTAATAAACATACCTTTGTATAAGGGAGCAAAGCAGAAATGCTGCTGACCAAGCAGGATGCACAGCTGTACCTAGAGCACAGTGGCAGTGATACAAGAAAGTCCTGAAGATACCAAAGGTAACCAACAGACAGCACAGAACATCCTTAAAGCTACCTTACAGAACAGTAGTAGCTTAAAGAATGTCCTTTCTTCCCCTTTAGAATCATTCTGGTTAGATCATACAACCACAGTGATGAAAGATAATTCTGCTGTTGTATAAAGAATATTTGTTTCCCAGCTAAGCCCCTACACAATACTGCATTGTATTGAAGAAAAGTCACTAGCCGTGTTGGAAAATAAGAAGTATGATAAGAATCTAAGATGAGAAAAATAGGAATAAAATAAACACCTGGTCTAGTTATCTCTGGAATGTAAGGATATTGGTTCCAGAACATGTATACATTTCTACTTACAAGACTGTACATTCTCCACATAAGCAAAATTTTGCTTTATGCCTGGGAGTTCAAACTTCTGGCCAGAGTAATTAAGTGAAGATCAACGGAGGGTCATTACAAACACAGAGTGTAACCTTTGCAACGTGAATCCTCTAACGTAAGGATGTAACAACGTACATGTATACAATTAAAAATCCTGCAAAACAACAACAATGAAAACCTGCTTTGCATGATCTTCATCCCCTCCAGAGTGGAACGGAGAACAAAAACACAGTCAGTGTGGGAAGGCGTTCAGATCTTGTTGGGATAGGCATGGCACATAAGCAGGAGCAGAACAAAATAGTCACAGTGACCCAATTCTGAATTTATCAATAAAATTAAATTTAAAGCCTTATATATATATAAATATATACATATGCTCACATAACTGTGTAAAGTTATTGAAAGAAGCAGAGACTGACAGAGTCTTTGAGACCCCTGTCTGCATTAGCAGCTCCAGTAACTTTCTAAGTCATCCTCTGCCATTTGCCAGCATTGCTCAGCTGGAACTGAAACCATAGTGTTTCACATTCCTACATACATGGATCATGTCTAGATGACATTCAGTGTAATGGACATCAGCACATGAAAGATTAATAAACACAGCGGAACAGAGTTTTCCCCATCTCAGGCCCCTTTCTACCAAGACACAGCTGGGAAAAGAGTGCTTCAGTGTCCTCATCTCTTTGCAAGCCAAGGACACGGGGCCAAGTGGGGTGACAACACCAGTACAGCATTTTGTGGTGAGTGAGAGCTGCCCTGAACAGCACCAGAAGCCCCTGCCCAGCTGTGCTCCATCCACAGCACGTCTGAGCAGGAACTGAGAATCTAACCCCTAACTTGTACACCGGGAAGACATTTATTGTCCAAAGGGCGTTAAACGCCATGTGTTTGCTCCTATAAAATAGCAGAGAGATCCTCCTGTAATGAAGAGCATCCACTGCTTTCTTCTGCCTGCCTGAGATGCAGCACTGGAGACTGTTATATGCCGATATGTAGAGAGCAAAGCTTAAAAGAAAAGGCTCTTTTGTGTATTTCCAGTAGAAACACTGGTTTCGAGAACTGGTGACATGCATTCAGGGCCAGACAGCTTGTTGTTTTTCTTCCCCTCTAAGCTCCATCCTCTTTCCTAGCCACAGACCCCACAGGGCACCCGGGAAGTGCCACCAGCTGCCAGCCAGCGGGCAAGGAGCCTCTGACACTTGGCAGGTTTTGGATATGCTGTCCTGACAAACCTGCCATGGCCCTTGGATCTGTCAGATGGTTTCACCCTTCTTCTTTGAATAGATTGTACTCCAAAAAGTCTGGGTGCACTGCTGAAGTATGAACATATTCCCATATGAGCCGTCCTTGGTGTGATCAGTCGTTGCCAGTCAGTTCCCAGGTGGGGTGCAGGTGGTGTCTCCTCTTCCTCCCCATTTCCTAGAGTCATGCTGCCTTCTGGCGCCTTCTGTTTCCTTTCTCAGAAGCATATACCTGGCTGACAGAAATAGCACAAAGCTATGCAAAAAATGCCAGAGCCCGCAAAGAGTTCAGCAACTTGTGTTATTTTCTAAACAGAAGACAAAGGCACCTGGTTTGCCTCAGATGCTTTGGGGCTGCCAGCTGCTAACACTGAGGGAGCAAGGGGCTCAGAGCACAGCGACACGAGAACAGCAGAAGGCCGGGTGCTACTCCTGAGCACCAGGAGCCTGTTTCATCAACTGCATTTTCCTCCTTCCATGGAGAAGATGTGGCTTCAGCCATTCTGAAGAAACACATACTCAGGAACTCCCAAAAAATTTCAGTTGTGCTATGAGCAACGTTCTTCTTAATATCATGTAATTAATATCAGTTGATGTACATGTAATGGCATCCTACTTTATGCATCATTGCCACTTAAGAGTGCTGGCAGAAGAAACAGCAAAGTCAGTTCATAACACTTGGTCCTCGTTGTCTATAAATAATATACTTTAGAATCAATCATTCACCTACATCAGTACACATGGGGAAAGTCAATCAAACAGAGAGACAAAAATGTAATTCTTATCCCTATTTTGGGTGGACCTGAGATGGCTCTCCTAAGTGAAATTAGTGTGTCTTAGACTTCAAGCAGTTATTCTGGTAGCTCAAAAGGTAAGGCAAGCCCTTGGGTATGGTTTATAGCTGTAAATGGCCTGTGATCTCTTGCAGAGATAATATACTCCAGTAGCCACTGACTCATTTTTATTCATCCATGGAACCATACACAAAGCTCTGCTTTATCATCTCAGCCCTTGGTATTATCTGCCACATCTTTAAGAACCACCACTTTCAGGAAAGGAAAAAAATAATACATAAAATAAAATAAAATACACAACCTTTTTTTGTTTCTCATTTAAGAAATTTAAAATAGCACTAAGTCAACAGTAGTTAGTCCAAGTTGCCTTGATGCTGCTGCCCCATGAGAGCCTGTTTTCTGACCCCTTGCAAAGCAATAGTCTTGGGCTGCATTGAGGCGATGTTGTTTTAATCCTGCCCAAGGCTCTCTCTCTGCACACCAGACAAGCTAGAGGAGCCATAGGCTTTGCAAATGTCCAGTGAGCAAATTACCAGTTTAAGCCATACCTGACTAAACAAACAGTGTGTATGAAGAGCAAAGTGCAAAAATCCATGGTTGTTGAAGAGACACTTATCTGAAACATTGCTGTGAAGGTCCGTCTGACACTTCTACTTGATGTTAACCAAAATGACAATTGGCCTAGTCACAGCAATAAAGGCACACGTGATAATATCTTTAGAGATTAATGCATAATGTTTACAGACATAAACCACTAAACCCTCCAAATACTAGTCCCAAGAAGCTGTGAGAAAAGAAAGCACCATACCTACAGAAACCCGAGGGAAAAAGAAAGAAGAAAAGAAAACCAAGGCATAATTTTGTCACTTAAAAATGCTAACTCTCCATAAACAAGCACAACCACCCCCACAGATCCCTAAGTACCACTGAACAATGATTTCCCACAACAGAAGTACTGGAGAATTTTGCTACCAAGTGCACCAAAGAGAGTTCCTCCTTAGTGTTGTCTGAACAAGGAAAAAGGGGAAATGTATCTGTAAGTCCTTTTCTATTTTTTCAGACCTCGCAATCAGCCGTGCATACAAATAAATCTTCTAGGTGGAAAATTCCCACTCCTGGCCCCACTTCTTTTCATTAGTAAGAAATCAAAGCTGTTTTTCTTATGCTATTACTCCAGCTCCCAGTCTTGTCCTTGGTTTGCTATGGAGCATGTCTTTCTCAGCAGCATGTTGTTACTCCATAGGCCTGGAGTAGTCTTCGCTGGTGAGCAACATCACTGAGAAACATTCATGAAACTAAGCAAAATGGACAGTGTGCATATTTAGAAAAAAAAAAAAATCTCTGGAGGATTTCCTAAACCCTGCAGCAGCGGTGTCCTCTCTAGGTAACACCAACCTGGGGAACAATGGGGACCCATAAAGCCCATTGGACCCGTGGAGTCCCAAGCAGTTGCTGTCACCAACCTACTGCCCTCACTGCAGTAGTGGGTGCCTTGTTTGCTGTGCCCAAATCTTTACTGTCTTGGCTGCAGGGAAACAGTAACTAAACACTATGAGAGCTTTTACTAAGATTAATGGCAAACAAGAGCTAGCTACCGTGAGCAAATCCCAGCTGTGGCTTGGTGCTACTACGCACAACAGGAACCGCTTCCTTAGTCACACTACATGCTCACGAGAAGCCATCCTAGTGCTCCTGATTAAACACCAGAAATTTCATTTAATGTTTCAGAGGGGACTTTTTTTTTTTTTTTTTTTTTTTTTAGAAGAACCAGTGTTAAGAGACCTTTGCTTGTGGGAAAATGAAGAACAGAAAGGTCGGCTGATCCAGCGGGATGAGTAAGGACTAGGAGAAGAGGGGAAGGGTCAGCATGTCTTTCTCACCTGGGGGAAGCAATTTGTTAGTTTGAAGATGCAGTACTATGATGCAGTCCTCTTGCAAGCCTGGGAGGCACCGAGCAGCCTGGTTGGCTGCTCCAGCCCCTTGCTAAGGAGCTCAGAGTCACATTATTCCTCAGCCTGAGCTGTTTTTCACCTGGGGTGGTACAGTATGTGAAGGGCTAATGAAGGGCTTGGCCTTGGTTTGGAGGCTCCTGGTGGCTCTTGGCTTTGAGGCTGGATGAGGACCAAGACAAAAGAAGGAAGCTTTGTGCTTGCCTTGATTAAAGATGAGCATAAACTGCACAGGTAGGGTATGTGCCGATGCTCCTAAGGCAAACAGACAAATGGTGCTATGGACTTGTAACACGAAATATGTTAGTTATAAGCCTGTTACAGAAGCTCATCATCTCAGAGCAATGGTGGTTGGACTCCTAACAATAATGAAGATGCGTGTAAGAAAACTTGTACTGCCAACACTGCTTGTACTAGCAAAGATGTTAGTGACTAAATAGAAATTCATGGACTGCTTGTTTAATTGTACACATTTACTTCAGACTAAACCCGTTTGTGTAGTAACTTTTCTGATACTCTGTACAAATGAACCGGAGAGAAACTGGAACCAGAAAAAGTCAGCTTTGTTGTTTCAGTGTGTTTTATTGGGGACCAATGTACCTGCTTGTGTGCTTGTATAGAAAAGCTGATAAGCTGTGAGAATACGATTTTATGGTGGAAAGTCTGTTTTTAATAAGTGGCTTGCATGACTGATCTGATGCTAAATAAAATAGTTAATCTAGACATGCTTACATCTGTTATTTGCTGACAGCTAATGTTCAGTGTGGAATAAGGGATGGTAGTCATCATTACAGCGAGACGAAATTATGTGTCTCATCAGTTCCTAGCACAGTTGTGAATTACTTCCAACTTGGCATAACATTTCAACTTCTTTTCCCTTAAAAGCTTAGCAATTGGATTTTAAAAAAATAAAAAATAAAATAAATCTGATAAATCTGTTACAAGTAGTGGAACACAGAACAAGAGGACTGGAAGGACTACTTCAAGGTCTATCGCTGTGCCCCATGGAGGGTTATGTGAGGTAGGTAGACATTTTATTTGTTCTTAAAGACCTCCAGCAATGAAGCACTGCAAACTCCTTGAGCAATCTCCCTGTTTTGCTATTCTTGTGACCAGAAAGTGTTCTATAAAGTTCTGAGTCATTGTGTTGCAGTTAGCAGCTTGTCTATCATGGAGATCTGTTTTCTGCAAACATTTATTATGAATCCAAAGGCTACTAAAATTTTGGATTGTATCCAAATAACAAAGGACTCATGCTTGCAACTGCTCAGATGCACTCCCTTAGAGCACTGTCCAGTGAGCCTGAAGGCCTGAATTAATAACATCAACGTGCTAGCCTTAATGCTGTGCAACTGAAAACCAAATTAAAGGCAGTGCTCGGGTAGTAATCATGAGCAAGTCAGGGAATCTTACTCAGGATGGTATTTTGTTGTCCTGTACTCCGAGCTCATAACATGCCTAGGAGCTGGATCTGTGTTGCAAAGCAGGTGAGCAGACCCAGGCAGAGAGCTCAGGAAATGCTTTCTATGAGGCATGAGAGCACAGCCAAATCAGCCCCCTTGGCCAGCCTGAGCAAGTTGTTTCTTAAGTTGTTGATCTAATAATTAAGTTGTTGATCTAATAGCTTCACAGACATCACCTGTATCAAAAAAAAAAAAAAAAAAAAAACAAAAAACAAAAAACAAAAAACAACACACTTTTCAAGGATCCTTATGTATTCATACTGGCTTGACTCACTGAAAGAGAAATTCACTTTAGAAAAGACGTTTCTGGATAATGTGCTGATCTGGGGGCACTTTAAGCCAGATGCCTAAGCAAGGGTATCGTGACACCTCTTCCTGTGGGGATCAACTGTGAAACATGTGCAAGCATCTCCTGTCACGTTCTGATATCATTTGCGTCTGTTTTCCCCCTGCTAGAGGCACAGTTCCTGGGAAGATGGACTCCACATTTATCAGTCCCTACCTGTATTCTGAGTCACCAGCACACCCCAGTGAGGACCGGAAAAGGCAGAATGTATCATAAAGCTTAGCTTCTGGTCTAGGACTTCAGATGTCCCTACAGAACATTTCATCTTTAGCATGTATTTTATTAATTGCTTCCATCTTCCTGTCTTCCATCATAAAATGGGTTTAGATTAGGATTAAACATCACAGTTTTTGTTAATAATTCTAACTAGCATACTTAATCATTTTCCAATGATCTGAAGTAGCTTCTGTACCTATCTCTACCCCACTTTGTAATATGGTGAGATGTTACGTTCCCTACAAGAGTGTGCTGTATCTCAGAGGCACAGTTCCTTTCCTAAGCAAGGTAAAATGGCTGCAACTCTGCTCTGAAGTAAAATGCTACAGAGCTCTCCCGCCTTCCTATAGGCTTAAAAAGAGACAAAAGCAAAGATTCTGCATATGGTACGGGTATTTTCTTCCTTTGCTTGTTTATTAAATACATGTCAAAATAAATCATAGAATCATAGAATATCCTGAGTTGGAAGGGACCCTTAAGGATCATCAAGTCCAACTCTTGACACCACACAGGTCTACCCAAGTTCAGACCATGTGACTAAGTGCACAGTCCAATCTCTTCTTGAATTCAGACAGGCTCGGTGCAGTGACCACTTCCCTGGGGAGCTTGTTCCAGTGTGCAACCACCCTAATACACATTTTTTGCAAGATGCTATGTGCCCATGTGTTTAGGATGCACTTAATTATGATGATTAAGAAGCCATTTCTTGAACATGTTAAAAGACAAGTAATATTAAGAGAAAACTAAGTTCTTCCACAGCAATCATGGGGTCATTAAAAATATGTATATAAAAGTTATGAGAAAATCCTACCTGTATCTTTTTCAAGATATTTTAATTTAGCAGAAATCTGAGTCTGAGTTGTTCTGGGAAGTTAAAATCTTCCTAGGCTGAATCATGATTTTAAATAAAGATACTGGGGTTTGTTTTTAAGTATATGGAGACTGACAGTTATTACATCACCATGCAGTTGAAGATGCTAGTTAATCAGACACAACTCCCCCCAAACGAGCCAAATACTACATCCAACTGCATAAGTATTGAAAAAGATGCATCATGAGTCTGTTGGAGTTCATGTTTTAATTTATTCTGGAATTGCATTCAAAATATAAAACACAAATCTCTTAAGCACTGAACACAGTCAGTTAAAACCACTGTTAAGACAGATTGATTTTTACTTTCTGAACATAGGTACAACTTGACTGGTTTCAATAGAACCATGGCTCTTTTTCCAGCAATGAACCTTATAGGTTTATTAATCACCAGTTCACACAGTCAAATAGTTCTCGTTATTTATGATTCTAAAGGAATTACACACTGTCATCACATTTTGGTCTATTAAAAGCATTATAAATTAATCAAATGTGAGATCAACGCTTGTGCTGTTCCCAGAGTATCTGTCTGTGGTACTGTTCCACCTCCTAGAAGGCTGTGGTAGAGTACAAAACAAGCAACACAATTACGCACAAGATTCAATGATGAAGGTTTTCAATGACAAACAAAAGCTAAACATGCAAATCATCTTATCATTAGCCATCCTTCCCATCCACACACACAGGAACTAGTTAAAGTGCCAAACTTTAAATAAACTGGTATATTGCCTAAGCCCCTGAAAAGAGTATTTATTTTTCCCCCCAGTTACTAGTCATATAAAAATAATTCTGATGCATTTATATATATGTACATGCTATTTCTCCAGCAAAAACTGGTATCTCGGGTGCCTCATTCAGAAGCTACTTTCAGATGACACTGTCCTGTTCTAGTTTAGCTGAAACACTAAATTGAAGTAACGAATGTAGCGTGTGACCCTTCCCAACAAAAACATTGGCTAACCTCACAAATGTGCACAAATTCTGCTGTTGTGATGATGACAGCAATCTACACAAAATAATTTACTTTGTCTCAAACTACCTCCTAACAAGCCAAGTAACATGTTCCTGCACTTCTGTCCCTTCAGTTCTCTTCCTATTTGTACCACCTTGTTCCATCTAGGCTGTCCACTACCTTAGGAGGAAAGCAATGCAGTGATGGGGAAAGAAGTTCTGATCTGATCAGTACTTGATTTCATGGCTTTCTTCGTTCTGAATGTACTCTGGTTAAAGAACAGCTCTGCCGCATGATCTAACACTCCTCTCAATCCCTAGCTATATAAAAAGAAAGTTTTGATTTTAAACAAATACAATACCATATGAAACTGGACACCTTTCTTACAGTTCAGTATTACTCCACAGATGAACTGTTTAAGAATAATCAGTGTAGGGCTACCAACTATGCATTGCTTCAGCAGTGTAATCAGCATACCTTGTCAATTGTTGTGCTCCTAAACTAGAAACTTTTTTACAAGAATGTGAAATTTTTTAACAGGAATGAGAATCCCCAAGAAAATAAATCCTTAATGTTTGCTAGCACCTTCCATGATTTCTCCTTATATGAAAACAGAAGAATTGTATTATGCTGACATAAAAACATCTAGCTCCTGTCTCTGCCTCTGTAATCTCTATTCTGTTATTAATTTTAGTGTTCAGACTCATTGGCAGAAGCAATAGATTACTGGTGTTAAAATGTATGAAGCCAGCTGAATCAGTGCTAAAGGAACAAACTATAATGTACCACAATGCAAAATAGAAGGCCTGCTTTGCTTTCAGATATTTGCCCTTCATCACAAGATCTTTCCACCCCTAGGACTGTTACTGAAAACTAAAACGGAAATAAAATAAATAAAAAGGAAAATAAAAAGGAAACCTTCATGGAGAAAATGTATATAAAAACTACCTTCATACTTAAAATGCCAGTGATTTTCTTCTGTTTAAACGCAAGCCTTCTTTCTTTGGCTGCTCTGTGCTTCATCAGCCTATCTTCTTTGAAAGTATAAAAAGTCATTTCACTTAACACAAATAAGGCTTGATATTCTGGAGATGCTAGAGCCCTTATAATGGGTATTTACTACAAGGACCTTGTGAACTTTTCTGCAGTATCTAGTGCTCTGCAAACATCCTCTCGTAAGAGTCTTGAGCTCCCTTCAACCTGCTTCTGTAACACTGATGTGGCTCTGTGAAGGTTTAATCTGTGTTCTTTATGGAGCATTGGAGTATTTTGCTCTTTATACATCTGTATCAAAACCCCTCAATCAGCCCAGAAGCTTTAAAAAAAGGAGACATCAATATACACAGATTAGTGACTATACATGTAGTCTATGCATGGCTTCCTCTGTTATCATAGGATCATTTAAATTGGAGACTACCCTTAAGATTATTAAGCCCAACCATCCACCTAACATCAAGGTAACTGCTAAACCATGTCCTTAAGTGCCAGGTCCACAAATTTCCTAAATACGTCCAGGAAGGGTGACTCCACCACTTCCCTCCTGGGCAGCCTGTTCCAATCCCTAACCACCTTTTCCATGAAGCTGTTCTTCTTAATGTCCAATCCAAAACTCCCCTGGCACAACTTGAGGCCACTGTTTTGTGTCCCTGGATTGTATGTATACAATGGTCCCACAATATTATGGCTCTAGGGTACTTTCCCAAACTACTGTGCAGCTGCACGTGCACTAGTAAAGCACAGGGATAATTACAATCTCACCTGAGCAAATGATGCATACCAACATTAAATTCTCAAAGTAACATTTTAAAGAGAATTCGGGTTCCTAGCAGCACAGAGAGTAGGCTTTTGAAAGCCCCTCCTGTATAGCCACCAGCATCACTGTGAGACTGAATATCCTTAAAAATTTGATCTTCCACTATCCAGCGGCTCTGAGCAACTCTACAGCTTGTGCTTTGACCTTCAGTTCCTTGTGTTTTAAGATGTTCATTTCATTTATTGCAAAAATCAACAGAAAGCCCTAGTGCAGTGCAGTCTGTACTCTTGTTTTTAAACCAATGACTATGTCTGAAGCAAGTTAGTGGTACTGTCTGTACTTCTAGTAACTCTATGTTTTTCAGTTTAGGAAGACAAAAATTAAGCGAAAGAACACAATTACATGCAAATTCAAGTAAAAAATCATTTAGGAGTGCAGAGTATTACAGAGGATCCACTGGATGTTTGCTCTTTTGACAATTATTTGCATGACTAAAAGCCCACTATACTATGAAAAGACACCTGATGACTTAAATGAGCTTTGGATCAGCTGTAAAGACATTTCTTTATCTATGCACTGAGACTGTTACTTACAACAGTTATCAAGCTACAGTTACAATATCAAAGAAATGCCAGTAATGAATACTTATTTTGCTAACATGAGCAAATAACTTTCTTATGAACAGCACTGTTTAAAAATTTAGCTATGGACCATCTCAATAGTAAATCAAAGCAAATTTCTAAAACAGAAATTAAAGATGCACCTTTACAAACTACATAAACCAAAAACTTAAATATAAAAATATATATATATATTACAAAATTACATCTCCAGTGAGATGCTGCCTGTACAGCAACCTGCACCCACAAAATCCTGAGTACTCTACTCTCAATAGTGTTGGTGAGAGCCGAGTTTGTATGCATTTTTCATGCCCACACTCATCTTGTGTTTAGATTCAGACTACTCCTCACACAGTTGCAGTGTGCTGAGCAAGAAACAAAATCTTGTGCTGTGAATTAGGAATGTATGCTAAGTTACCACATCAAAGTTGTTTGGATCCTTCTACATAAAGGTTCAGGAACCATTCAGGAACAATGTTACTTCTGAACTCAGTAGCTAACCTATGCTAAACTAAACAATGTAATTTGATTGCAAGAGACGCATGGGCTTCTGAGTCACTTTTTGCCTATGTTTTCAGTGCCTTTTTGAGGTCAGAGTAGAAATTGGCCAGAGTACTAGCCATGGCAGTGTCTACTGCAGATTGTGGCAGCATCCCTCGCAGTTCTGTCTGAATGTAACCCGTCAAAAGACTGTGGTTAGGATAGTCTTTAAGAGGGACGCAGAACCAACCGCAAGGGTGATTGAATCCACGGACAAAATCAGGTCTCACCTCTCCATAGTCAAGGCTAATACCTGTCAAGGAAAACAAAAAAGAAAAGGAAAATGAATTTCAGAGAGAGAAAAAATAAAAGTTTCTACCTGGGGAATTTAGTAGTAATGACAGGAACACTTTAAGCTTTTGGATACTTGCAAACCTGAAAGCTGCCTGCTTGTCATCCACACTCCTTCACAAACAAGCCGAGCTTAACAAGCAGAAATGGACAGTAAAGACATTCCTCCCACTTACTAGGAAGCTTTTTACTTCGCTCAGTTTGCTGTATAAGCTGAGACAAACCACACAATTTGTCTCTACCACTCCTGTCCTACAGTTGGCATAAATGAGTCCTGTCACACATGAATGGCTAATGGGCAAAGCAATAACTTGTATACTTCTTTAAATCTGTAAAATCTCTAAAATACCTCTGAAATACTAATTGGAGACCATTTTATATCATTTTTGAATGTTTACTACAGAACTATAATTAATTTGAACCAAATCTTAAGGCAGACAGGTGCTGCAAAATAAGAATTGAGCAAAGGTAAGTGGTGCCTTACCACACGTTAGAAGACCATCTTCGTAGTTTGTGGTGTAAGAGAAATCAACAAACTCCCTTGGTGCTATGATATTCCAGAGCTGGCCAGCAGTGGTGTAACGCATCACACAGCAGTTCTTGTTGAGTGACAGAATGAGGAGAGTAACAAAACAAAAATATCTTATTATAATGTATACAGGGATATTTAAGCTGGTAGGCAGCTAGCCTTTTCCAAAAAGGTGGTGCTATCTTTCAGCTACATGCTGTCCAGAAAACTTCAGTGAGGTCTTAACAGAAGTGTCATTTTTGGTCTAAAGGCTGGAAGTTCTTAAGAACTTGTAGTCTGCAACTGAGCACTGCAGAGGCTGAGGGTATCTGGCTCCTTTAAACCATCCTGATTAAAACGATAGAATTTTAAGTTATGTCTGGGAACTGAAAGCCATGTGGCTTTTACATTCCCTTCCCACTACCTAGCAAGTCTGAAAAGATCATGAATAAACTGCAAGAAGCTGCACTCAGTACTAAGATCCTCTGTCAAGGGCTTTTAATCCACCAAGTGAACAAAACAGAATGCAAACAAGTCTTCCAAAAAGCCTTTCTTATGAGACACTTAAGTTTGTGTAAATACTAAGGAGCAATTAGCAAAAACACATTATCATATAAATCCTCCTGAAAAGCCAGAGCACAAAACAATGCATTTGTGTTTAAGCCAGATGCCTACATGGTTTTAAAGTCATAGTGGATGTCCCCAGTAACCAAAACAAGGTTAACAACTTCTACATAACCAATTTCAAAAGTATCCCTCTTTATCAAGTCTTGCCCTCCAGTACAAATTATTTTTGCGCTCAGCACAAAGCCCTGCCACAGCTAAGAAAACCTTTTAGGAACAGGTTGTAGTTTCTGTAGAAGCACGAGTGGATTATTAATACCAACAACCTTATTTACTGTGGAATAGATGAAAGTGAGGAGAATGTAAAGCCTCTGATGTGTAGAATATTACACTATAACTCTTCTACATGTGAATTGTACTACAGCTCCCACATCTCAGCTGCAACCTTTTAGGTTTTATTCCTTTATTTTTTTTCATTCATGGAAAGCTGAATGTCAAGCTGCAGAAGAGGGCTGTGCAGCCAGAAAACATCTTCTGAAGTTACCCACAGCATGTATTCATACTGTCCATGCAAATAAACATGCATTGAAGAAAACACAAGTAAAAATATCAGTACTTATTGGAACTACTGCTTTTCTGTGATGTTAGATTCACATACGTGCCTACACACATTTCCTTTAAAAATCTGTATGCAAGTCTTCACCTCTTCAAACGTTTCCATGATGTCCATTGTAGTCATTAAGCTGTCCCAGTGCAGCCTATAAGGTCCAGGGCGAATATGATCCACAATTCTGTTAGTAACATCTTCCACCACTCCTTGAGCTTTGTAGCTAGAGAAACGTAAGTTTACATTTAAGTCAGAAATTCTCATTCAGTATTCCTTTAGTTTGCAACAATACACTGACTATAATGCCTTGGTATCTGGAATTATAGTCAGTGGATAATTGTATCAGAAAGACAGTACAGAAGAAGATCCCTGTGTGTATCCTTTTCTGCAATAGGCATAATTCTAGGAAGCTTTGTCCTTATGCTGCAATCTGTATTTCTTAAATTGTAACCTATTTCCTCAAATAAAAATCAGCATGTTTATTTCTCTAACAACTTGTTATTTTGCTGCTCTTGCAAGGGGAGCAAAGGAGGTCACCAGGGACAAGTAAAACTAAAAGCGAATAGAAAAGAGAGCAGGTATACAATGAGGAAAACAGTCACAGTCCTCATAAAGTAGAGGTAACAGTAGTAGAACCAAGCTAACAAGAAACTACATTATGCCTTGGTGGCCTATTAGAGTACCAAATAATTTGGTGTAAGACTTTACAGAACATTCATTATGTTAAAGAGATACAGAAATTTTGATTACTTGAATTACTAGGTCTCATTCTCCTGAGGGGGAAAAATTGTTAATAACCACTATTTTCAAAACACTTCTTATTCATTAAGCTCTTCTTATTAATAGTAGGCAGCCAGTCACACAACCCATTCATTTTTTCTCTTGCACATTGCACCCCTTTTCACTCATAGTTAGCTGACTGTGGCCAGCCTCAGTGTACACCAAGAATGCCAGTGCCTGGTGGGTGTTTGGAAATTTCAGTGTCCTTTTTTAAATTGGGTGTGTTCACAATCCTGGAGTCAGCTGCATATAGCAGCTGACTTTTTTGGCAGTGGTTTAACTCACACAACTTGGTGTTCATGCTAGTGTGCTGGTGGCCCAGTACAGAGTCAGGAGACTTGTAGTACCTGGGGTTGTCAGCTCTAGCAGGACTTGCAGTACCCCGAGCGTATCAGTCCTTCAGGTACTTTCAAACACTACCTTTACACAGCACTCTTCCTTTCTTCAAACTGCTACTTTCTAATAACTATTTCTCCATTTAAACCTACCACTATCTACAGAACCCAATGACAGAAACTCACATGGGAATGGTCTTTATATCACACATCTTTGCCACAGCTACATGCTTGATGTTTTATTCTACCAGTTGCATAGTCACTAACAGTGTGCAAACACTGACTGGCTTGTCACTCAGTAATGCTGCAGACCTACTGAACCTGTATGTGATGTATATTTCTAAGAAGTTTGGACTTATGTTGTTGCCCACATCAGCCAGTGGGAGTTTTGTGGTGTCTGGACACCAAGCAAGCACAAATCATTAAAGCATAACACCCAAAATAAATGGTACAGGCCTTTACATGACAACAAGGCATACCAGATGACCCACTTAGCTTCTCCTGTGAAGAATCAGAACCTTAATTTCTGAACTCTGTAAAGCACATCTGTGGAACCTTAAAAATTGATCTAGTCTGCAGGCAAACTTACAGGTATCCACTGAATTCCTCTGATGGTTTACGCCACACCGTTGCATCTTTCTGAAATAAAATGGAAGATATGACATTACTTGTCACTTACATACCATTCTAAGATGTCGAGAAAATGCCTCAGTTTTTCTAATGAAAAGCAAAATACGCTATCATTAACTGTGGCTCACCCCAAAGTGCTCTCTTGTATATTTGCCTGTAGAAAAGCAGACGTCTTTCAGACGTCTTTGCTGGTAATCCTCCATTCTTTCAAAAAAATCAGTCAATTGCCTTTCTCTGTATCAAGTACGAGAAGTCTGAGAAGATAAACAGCTTTGCGGGCCAAGCCAATTTACTAGGAATACATACAGAGTAACAGAAAGACATATTAGATACAGCTTTTCAATTAAAGGCAACTGGAAAGCCATTATCCAGACAGGAAGACCATACAGTCTGTGCCTGCACTCCTGTAACACATGACCAAGCAGATGTGTACAGGAAGTACTGACAGTAGCACACAAGCAAGCTTAAATTACCCTTCCCTCCCACATACCTGACTGGAAATGTCTTGCAAAGTGGTCTGTTTGTTTTAGAGTATGCCAGATAAAATAAGGAAAATGGTAACCTCTGATTATTATCTAACTATAAAATGGAACCTATGTACAGAATCTCTGAAATTCATCATTAAAAAGAATACTACCTACTTTTTGCTTGGGATCATGACTACATAAGCTCTAAGGCCTAAACGTCCTAAACAACAGTAGCGTAAGTACTGCATCCACAAGTACACAACAGTGGGATCGAGTCCACCCTCAGCACGTTTGCTGATGACACCAAGCTGAGTGGTGCAGTCAACACGCGGGAGGAAAGGAAGTGATGTCATCTGGAGGGACCTGGACATGCTGAGAGGTGGGCCTGTGAGAACCTCATGAAATTCAACAAGGCCACATACGAGGCCCTGCAACTGGGTCAGGGCAATCCCAAGCACAAACACAGGCTGGACAGAGATTGAGAGCAGCCCTGAAGAGAAGGACATGGGGGTGCGGGTTGATGAGAAGCTCAACACAAGCCACCAATGTGTGCTTGCAGCCCAGAAAGCCAACTGTGCTTGCAGCCCAGAAAGCCAACTGTGTCCAAGGCTGCACCCAAAGTAGTGTGGTGAGCTTGGTGATAGAGGTGATTGTCCCCCTCTGCTCTGTTCTCATGAGACCCCACTGGACCACTGCGTTCAGTTGATGCACCGAAGTCTATTTAGCTTAATGAAGCAGAACTCTGAGAAGCCAAGCAGCTCAACAGAAGGGTATGGCAAACTGCTTTGGGAAAGCAGGAGCTGCATTCTCTCATTCTCTTCAAGGGAGCGGGGTGGGATGGAACTTCTCATACCGTGGAGGCTCTGATAAACAGTCACAGCTTGAAGGCAATGAAAACATATGAAGCAACATGAGGGAAGGAACAGACAGTGATCTCACATTTTATGAGGAAGACATTTGGAAGCTGAAGCATGTGTTCTTGAAGGCTTTTTTCAAACATAATTGATTCTATGATTATTGACAAAAAGAGATACCAAAAGCCAGCAAATCCTAACTACAAGGCTGTGGCTGGTTAATTAGAAAGTACAAGTGAGCATATCACAGCACTGCTAGCTCTAGCAGTATTTCAAATTTTCACAGAATCATTCAGGTTGGAAAAGACCTTCAAGATCACCTGGTCCAACCACCCCCCTACCATCAATGTCACCCACTAAACCATGTCCCTACGCACCAGGTCCAGCCTGTCCTTGAACACCCCCATGGATGGTGACTCCACCACCTCCCTGGGCATCCCATTCCAAAGCCTGACTGCTCTTCCTGAGAAGAAATCTCTCCTCATTTCCAACCTGAACCTCCCCTGGTGCAACTTGAGGCCATTCCCTCTGGTCCTATCACTAGTTACCTGTGAGAAGAGGCCGACCCCCAGCTCCCCACACCTCCCTTTTGCTTCAAGCCCCAGCCCCACAAAGCTAGGACTGTGCGGGCCTTCCACATCAACAAGCCATGACACACTATGTCCGGGAAAACCCCTCCTGCCATCCCAAGCTGCCCTGTCCATGCAGGTTCACTTCAGAGGGCCTCTCAGAACGCCCTGCGATAACAGCCAGATGCCTCACACCCCGTCACACCCTCTCTGTTGTTGCTCCCAGGGGGTGACCTGCAGCCGCCCACTCACCGTTTTCTTGGCGACCCGCCACTCGCTGTCCGCGATGCCGTGGTACTGCACCAGGGTGTTCCGCAGCTTCGTGGCCAGGGGCGCCGCTCTGGGCAGCGGCTCCATCTCGCTCCCCCGCGTACCGCACACACACACACACTCACACTCACACGGTCGCCAGCGGGGCCCGGAGCCGCTCCCCAGTCACGGAGGCCGATGCCGGGTCCCGGAGCCCCCCGCTCACCGCCGGCCGCCGCGCTCCGCCCGCCCAACGGCCGCCCAACCGCCGAGCAACGGCCGCCCAACGGCCGACGGCGGCAGCCAATGGGAGCGCGACCGGCTCGGCGTCGCAGCCAATGGCGAAGCTGCCCGCCCTCGGGAGAGCGCGCGCGGCGGGCGGGCTGTGGGGAGGGGCGGGGCGGGGCGGGGCCGGAGCGGTCCCCGCCCAAGCTCGCGGCCGCCCGTCATGGCGCGAGGCGCCGGCGGCGTGACGTCACGAGCTGGCGGCCTCAGGGCGCCTGCCCGTTGGCTGCCGCAGGGAGGGCGGGCGCTCTGATTGGCCGAGGGGAGCAGGGTTTTCCGTCAGGCTCCTGCCCGTCAGCGCGCCCGGGGGCGGGGCCTGCTCACTGCCCGCCCTGCGCGCCTCAGGGGCGGGGCCGGGTTCTGTAGCGTCAGGCTGCGCCCGGGGGGAAATGACGCCTTTTTCTTCGAAAATGACGATTTGGGGTTAAAACTATATTTATAGAGTCACAGAATCATTAATGTTGGAAAAGCCCTCCGAGGTCATCCGGTCCAACCACCCCCCTGCCACCAGTGTCACCCCCTAAGCCGTGTCCCCAAGCACCACGTCCAGCCTCTCCCCAAACACCCTCAGGGATGGTGACGCCACCTCCTCCCTCAGCAACCTGTCCCAGTGCCTGGCTGCTCTTTCTGACAGAAATGTCTCCTCACTGCCAACCTGAACCTCCCCTGGCACAACCTGAGGCCATTCCCTCCAGTCCTATCACTACAGGGAAAAATAACTATTAAGGAAGGATTATTATTAATTAAACAATTTAACTAAAGGGAAAAAAACTGGAAAGGGGACAAGCAAGGGGAAAGGGAACAAAAAAAAAAAAAAAAAAAAAAAAAAAAAAAAAAAAACCACAAGTAAAGGCTGTGTGGCAGTGCAGAGAAAAGAAATTACTCTCAACTTCCCACACATGAGCGATGATTGACCACGTCCTTGAAGCAGGGCCTCAACGCATGTAGCTGGTGTTCAGGAGAAGGACTGATGTTTTCCCAACGAGAGCCCACCTCTCCCCTCTTCTTCCTGTTTCCACCTTTTATTGCTGGGTGTGACACCACATGGTATGGAATATCCCTTTGGTTGGTTTAGGTCAGCTGCCCTGGTGATGTTTCTCTTCTCACTTTTTGCCCACCCCCTAGGAGGGTTAGGGAGAGGCCCGATGCTGTGCCAGCACTGCTCAGCAGTAGACACAACACTGGTGTGATAACACTGCTGTTCCAGCTACAAGTGCGGAGCACAGCACTGCATGGGCTGCTGCAGGGAAAGTTAACATCCCAGCCAGACCCAGTACAGACGATCACCTCCATGCTCCTGCTGGCTGCACTGAATCCTGCTGGCCCCAACACCCACCCCTGGGGAACACCACTGGTGACCAGTCACCAGCTGGATTTCACTCCATTCACCACCACTCTCTGGGCCCAGCCATCCAGCCAGTTTTTAACCCAGCACAGAGTGTACCTGTCCAAGCCATAGGCTGCCAGCTGCTCCAGGAGAATCGTGTGGGAGACCTTGTCATAGGTCTTGCCGAAGTCCAGGCAGACTACACCAACAGGCTTTCCCTCATCCACCAGGCGGGTCACCCGGTCATAGAAGGAGAAGAGGCTGCTCAGGCAGGACATGCCCTTCATGAACCCATGCTGGCTGGGCCTGATCTCCTGGTTGTCCCACATACATTGCATGATTGCATTCAAGATGAGCTGTTCCATCACATTCCCTGGCACCGAGGTCAGGCTGACAGGCTTGTAGTTCCCCAGGTCCTCCTTACAGCCCTTCTTATAGATGGGCGTCACATTAGCCAGTCTCCAGTTATCTGGGGTCTCTCCAGATGACAAAGACCAATGATAGATGATGGAAAGCAGACAGGCAATCACATCTGCCAACTCCTTCAGCACCCTCAGGTTGCCTAAATAACCTCTATCCTCTTCAACCAGGGGAAAGTCTTCCTCTCTCCAGGTTTTCTCTCTTGTTTCCAAGCTTGGGGACTAGTCTTAGCAGTGAAGACTGAAGCAAAGAAGGCATTCAGTAACTTTGCCTTCACTGTATCTGTCATCACTAAGGCACCCACCTCATTTAGCAGCACACCCACATTTTCCTTAGACTTCCTTATGCTGATGATGTATTTGAAGAAGCCCTTCATGTTAGCCTTGATGTCTCTTGCTAAATTTAATTCTACAGGGCCTTGGCCTTCCTTCATGCATCCTTGCATTCTCTGACAATGTCCCTATACTCCACCTAAGTGGTCTGCCCCTTCTTGCACATTATCTATGCTTTTTTTTTTTTTTTCTGTTTACGTTTTCCCAAGAGCTTTTTACCCATCTGTTCTAGTTAGATTCTGAGGGTTGAAGCCGATTGGTTCAGCCCAGCAAGGATCAGACAAGAACTATATATATATCTAAAGCAAATGAGCTATTTGGGGATGTCAGATTCACTCACACACACACTCACACTTAAGCAGCGATAGAAAGACAAAGAATTTGTCACTGAGTTAGCTTGTTAACATACCAACCCCAGGGTACCAAAGAGCGTGATGTTTTTCCCAGTCATTGATGTCATAGGTACTTAGCCAGGTCATGGTGGGCATCCTGTTGGTGCAGTAGGTATCAAAGTCTTGCAGCCATCCCTGTGGAGGCAATGCTGACCTCAGTTGATGTTCCTGCCTCACTGACACAGAGCAACTTACTCTGTTTATAGGTTTTGCCCCTGCATGCTCCCAAGCATAGGGTAGCGCACAAGTGGCAGCCCCAGCCTCAGGGGAGCACTGGGCAGTCCTTTATAGGCTTCTGTGATCGTGTACAGCTGTGTGGCCAGCGTGTTCTGTGCAGATGGCAGCATTGTCTCATACCAGATGACTTGTGGCCTGGTGCCACATTGCTGAACAAGCAATATGTGTCATTGCAAGGCCAGAGTTCCGCCTTGCTGCTCTTACAACAAGGCAACACAATTCATGTGTTCCTGTTTCACATTGGACAACCTAACAGTTTTTATTCCTAACATGCCGTCCATGCAGGTCTCCTGCCCACCTTGCTTGACTTCTTTCTCACAGGGGTGCACCAATCTTGAGCTTGGAGGACATGAAAATGCCTGAAAAATCAAATTTCTCCTGAAAAATGCACAGCCCCATGAAGCCAATCAGTTGTCCTAGGATAGCTGATAGTTCATCCTGGAAATAGTACTTTATGGAGAAGTATGAGACTAACTACTGCTACTTAATTTCAGTTGAACTGTGACTTGCAATGGGCTTGACTGCTGAAGGTGTTCCTTTGTGAAATGCACATAACTCATGGTAAGAATATTTGTGGGTTGTTTTCAAATAAAAGAAAACGCACACGTCTAACCTTCACATCTTGGAGGTGCAGGGAAGGTCAAAAAATAGATGAAGTTTGCCAAAGATTATGGACCAAATTCTGCTTTTCTAGCAAAGAGGATAGAGCCACTAATATTTAATGTGCTTACTCCTATCTGACACTCAGTGGGCTGCTTCCAAACCAAACCAGGGCTGAAATAGTTTACCGGATCAAGCCTGAATGTCAGCTGCTGGTGGACAAAGAGCAGTAGGCACATGGCTGCCTCATTAAAGTTAACCAATGTATTTTTCTTAAATGTAAATGTCTCCAGACAGACTAGCAGACTAGTGCCCTTTTCAGAAGAAAGCTAATGGGCTGCCCTTACTAACAGATTTGAAAAAGATTTTTTTTTTTTCTGTAATTTTCTGCTTAATTAGGATCTTTCTGCCAAGGGCAGGCATCGACTAAGACTTGCACACTTAAAGGTGTAATTCGCATACAGAATTGACGTGCAGGAGTCTGGAGATAATAAAGTCTGCAACGCTGTCTTCCGCTGGGCACCTGCATTCCCTTTGACTGGTGAGTGGGCAAAAGCAGTTATACAAAATTCTGAGGAGGAAAATGTAACTAAATAGTAATATTGCTTAACACTTTCAGGGTGGGTGTGGAGGGGGATGGGGAAGGAAGAGGGGAGAGAGGGAAGCAGTACTTCCTTACCAAACTACTAAACTCCCTATTTTCTGGTGAATAGACTACAATATATCAGTGCAGGGTACCAAAGGTTCTCCCAATGATTACCACCAATGTAGTTTAATATATTCACTCTGAGCCCAAGTCTTTTTTAATGGTTATGCAGTCATGAGAAGTAACTGCAATGCCCATGGCAATACATATTTTTTTTTGTACAATTTTATCTGAGACATCACTGATTTTGTTTTGTTTTGTTTTGTGTTCAGATACTTCTGTAGGGTATTAAAGAATATTATGTTGATCAATTCATGTGTTCCTAGACAAGTGCTCAGTTTGCTCATGAACATAATGTTTTCCATTATTCTCATCTGGCTGCTCAGTTTCCCTGGGCTGGATATTGTGCTCAGTGTTACTAGAGCATTAGACGTGAATTTACAAATACTTATTAGTGCAAAGTGATCTCATTAATTTCAGGCAATGGAAGGTATTTAAAACTGCAAGCATGATTCAGAACCTTGTTGATTTTTTCTGACATTCTGCTCTTAAGTGTGAAAAGCAGAAAACATTCCACACCTGTCAAAGTTCTGCATTTCTGGGGCTTTTGCACAGCCACCAGCTTTCATGGTAAGACTTAAACCTTTTTAAACCCCGACCTTCAGCCATGCACAACACACATAGGTTCTGTAGCCCTTCAAAACTACAGATACCTGTGTATCAGGCAGAATCATGGCAGAAGGGCTGAGGTTGACGTGGACCTGCAGAGGCCATCTGGTCCAAGGCGCTGCCCAAGCAGAGACATAGAGCAGGTTGTGCAGGACCATGTCCAGATGGCTTTGGAATACATCCTAGGAGTGAGACGCCACAACTTCTCCGGCAACCTGTGTCAGTGCTCCATCACCAGCACAACAAATAATTACTTCCCAATGCTTAGGGGGAATAGTTTGTGTCTACATCTAACTACAACACATTTTGTTTTTCTTGAAACAAACTAACAACTAATCCAAAATGTTTGGAAACTTTTGGAAACC